CATATCATGGACCACCAAGAAAACAAGTCTGTCTTGGAAAGAGTGAAATCAAGTCTCTCCTGTACACAAGGATTTTGAAGCTCCATCTCACATACTTTGGGCACATGGCCAGAAGGGACCAGTCCTTGGAGAAGGACATCATGCTCAGAAGGGTGGAGGGACAGTGAAGAGGATGACTGTGAATGAGATGGATTGATACACAGTAACTGAGGCAATGAGGGAAGTGTGTCAGAGTCAGTGAGCCTGGCTCAGGACAGGGCAGACTTCAGAGCTATTGTCCATAGGGGTCACTATGAGTCACAGGAGACTCAAGGGGACAAGCAGCACTTAGTACCTTAAAACCGTTAAGAGCAGCCAGCTAAGATGCAAGACTGGTCTCTCCCAGTCTAGAGTAAAGAATGAAGAAAATCAAAGGTGCACACAAATAGTGGGGCCACAGCATTAAAAGACCTTGCAAAGCTCAACTTCACAACCCTCAAACCAGAATAATATTTGTTATGTGGTTACCACTGCTGGTGCCACAGAAAGAGAGCACAATAGAAAGAGATCACAACTCTATCCTGGATGGAGTTGAAGATAAATGTAGAATAAAACATAAATATCAGTAAAATTGCCAGCACGGTTGTCTGATAGACTGGTGGACCACTGCAACTATGGTCCCTCGCCACCCTTTGAGCCAGGAACTGACTTTACCCCCACAGGACAACTTTTGGAAAAAGTATGTCGGGGATAAGGTGGAGGGACAGAAAAGAGACCCTCAACAAGATGGACTAATGCGGTGACTTTAAAAGTCGGCTCAAGTATGTGGGAGATCACTGAGGAAGGCACAGGATAAGAGTCTGATAATTTTAAAAAGTAGTTCTGGTTGCTAGGTAGTAAACTTAAAAGCACACAGTTCAAATCCACTACTTGCTCCAAAATTTGGGAATCTCCTCCTCTGAGATTTACAACATCTGAAAACCTGCTGGAGGGTCAGCTATTAGTTCCAACTTGATGGTACATAACACCATATAAGGAAAGTATTCTTTACAAGTAATTTTTGTTTAACAAATTAAAACTAAAGTAGAAAAATGTTGTTTTTGTTGGGTGCTGTCAAGTACAACTCAAAGCAACCCTATGAACAAAAGATGGGAACCGTGTTTTATCGTGAGAAAAATGTTGGAGTCATGCTCATGGAAAGATATTTTTTTCATACATAAATCTCTTTTTGACTACCCTATACAAACATCTCTAGCTAATACATGTTAAAATGAATTCTTAGGCCTCTGGGAGTGAAAGAGAAAAAAACTAAGGCCGAGGAATAATTCCAAAACTTATATTAACATTTGGCATTTACTTATTCTGGCAAATACATAAGAATATACATAAGAAAGGAGCCTGCTTCCATTTATAACGTAAGGGGCTCTAAGCTTGTGAACTAAGTGGAAACGAGTGTTAACGACTTCCTAGGAAGAATGGTGTGGATGGTGTTTGAGAGTAGATTGAAAACGCCAAGCTTTTCTGAGGAATGTGATCCAGAAGTGTTCTAAATAGAGGGCGATAAAATTAGCACAGAAACTGGCAGACCAGATTAGTCCAGGAAAATAACATAGTGTGCAGTTCGTTCTTTAACAGCAGCGGTGGGAGTAGAATAACCGTGATTGCAGATGAGACCAGGGATACTTTAAGTTACCTTAAAATTGACACTTCCGTTTTTCCACTTTTCAGGGCTAGAAGCTAACGCTGCGCCGGGTGCGCCAGCCAAATCCAGAGAAGGCGTGTAACCTGGCGGCTGACGGGGTGCACACCTGCAGCCAAGCCTCACCTCACCTCGCCCAAACTCACTCGTTCTCCTTGACCCTTTCAAGCCACCACTTCTGTCCCTTCTCATCCAGCTGCATCTCACCGAAGAGCACAGGAGAAATTGGGAAACAGAAAACAAAACAGCATCCCTCGCAAGCGCTACAGCCTTTATACTTCCCCTCCGCTGCACAGCGTCTCTCAATCTCAATCTCAGACCGCTAGTGCATGGCCCGCAATACTATAATAAGAGAAATACAGGCACAAGTAACTTCCCCGCTCCCTTCCGCCCCTCACCTTCACGAAAGCAATCGGGGTTGTGGTACCTTCGATATCTAACAGGATCACAGTTACTTCGGACGGCACTGAAAGCACGACCATTTCCCTACTGGAATTGGCCTTCCGGCAGTGAGGGCAGAGAGCGGCGGCGGCTGCAAACCCCGAAACCTTCTTAGGTTCCGACACCTCAGCAAGATCTGTAAGGCGGCAAACGCGTGCAGCCTGGTAAATGAAAGGGAGAGCCGCTTCTCTGGGAGGTGGAAGTAAAGAAAACGGCCTCTCTGGGTCTCTGAACTCCGGCGCAGTGTAGGACAGAAGGCCGAGACCACGTGGGCAAGAAAAAGGGGCGGGCCTCGCGGGAACCTGATGGGGCGGGGAGGGCAAGCACGAACCCCGATTGGCCGCCAGAGAGCCTCCAACCCGATCCGTCAAAATGGGCCTAGCGTGGGCGGGAACAAAGAAGGGAACGCGGGAGCAGGGTGTGCGGGTGCGCGCTCTCCGCAGACTGGTTGAGCGAGCGGGAGAGGCCCGGGGCACGTGCAGACAGGAGCCCCGCGAGTGGCGCGCCGGGGATGTGAGTGCCCCTTGCCCTCTCCAGCACCTAACCCCCTCCCCGCCCACTACCTCCACTTTTGCATATTTAAAGTAATCTGACCCGGCCCCCCGCCCCTCCTCCCTGCCTCAGCGCATAGTGGAGGTCGTGTTGGATTCTCGTTTTCCTGACTGCGTGGGTCCCCGGCCCAGGCGATCATTTGGGAAGGCCGAGCGCACCCCCTCCCCGGCGTGCATCGCTGCTTCCTGTTGGGCTGGTTCCTGCCAGCTCGAGGACAAAACGCGTGCGCGCGGCGGATGGGCGCGTTTGCATCATCAGCGACGAGCGAGCGTCGGGCGCAGTCAGCCTTTCTCCGGCGCAGCTTGCCCACGGCTTTGATAGCACCCGCCGCCCCAGCAGCAGCTCCGCACTGGGGAGCGAGGGAGGAAAAAAGGCGGGGTTGACGGATTTTTTGCTAGGAGTGGGTTGGATCGGACGTCAGAGACAAAAGGCTCTCAAGGCAAGAGGGATTGTGGTTCAGCGACGGCGCTGATCGAGATTTTTGACCCAAGGACTTCGTCGTTTTTTTCCTTTCACTCCAAGCCAGCGTCCCCTCACTCGCGACCTCGTTCCTCACCAGGAGGGCCACGATGGAGGTCCCGCCCCGGCTTTCCCATGTGCCGCCGCCATTGTTCCCCTCCGCTCCCGCTACTTTAGCTTCCCGCAGCCTCTCCCATTGGCGGCCGCGGGGTCCGCGGCAGCTCGCCCCGCTCCTCCCTTCGTTAGCTCCCAGCTCCTCCCGGCAGGGGGCGCGCCGGGCCCAGCGCCACGTCACTGCCCAGCAGCCCTCCCGATTGGCGGGCGGGGCGGCTATAAAGGGAGGGCGCAGGCGGCGCCCAGATCTCTTCCGCCGCCATTTTAAATCCAGCTCCATACAACGCTCCACCGCCACCGCTGCTGCCGCGACACGGTCCGCGCGCCAGCACCACCCTCCTGACAGTTCCGCCACAATGGAGGACATGAACGAGTACAGCAACATAGAAGAGTTCGCAGAGGGATCCAAGATCAACGCGAGCAAGAATCAGCAGGATGACGGGTACCGCACGCTTCTCACTCCTGCCCTAGTGCGCCCCACGCGCCTTCGGTCTCTTGGGAGCCGCGCGCTGCCCCCGTTCTTGCCCAGAGTCTCTTCCCCGCGTGCTCGATGGGCCTTAGTTGCTTGAAGGAGGAAAGAAAGTAGGAGACGAAGGGGGTGACTCCGGAGCCCGAGAGGGTGGGGGAAGGGTGGAGGGGTTGGCGGAGGCGACCGGCGGCGGTGGCGTCTGGGCTCCGAGTGCGCAGGCGCCGCGTGCGGCCCAGGGAGGAGGGGCCGGCTTGGCTGCGCCACATGCAGCAGCTGCTGCCGCCTCCTCATTGTGTCTGCGTTACTGCTTCGCGCAGAGTGACTGGGGGAAGTTTGGAGAAATCCTGGTCTAAGGACCAGCAGCCAAACGACGCCCCAGCTCTCCATCGAGAACCCCTGTAATGAGTGTGTGTGGGTAGAAGGTTCGCTTGACAGCTGAGAAAGGGGGCGGTCCTAAGTTGGGAGCGAAGAGTTGAGTAAAAGTGGGTCCGCTAAGAAACTGTTCTGTAGTCGGCCGACCTGGTGTTTTGCACGTTGAAGAGTGCGTTGGCCACTGTTTTCCCGTAAGTGACATCGAGGAATTGGGGGGCAGGTGTCTTTGGAGCACACCTTTGTTTGTCTTGCAAGTTTAGGTGGCTAATTTGTTAAAACAATGAAAAACCTCAACTTTTCTTTCTAGTAAAATGTTTATTGGAGGCTTGAGCTGGGATACAAGCAAGAAAGATCTGACTGAGTATTTGTCTCGGTTTGGAGAAGTGGTAGACTGCACGATTAAAACAGATCCAGTCACTGGACGGTCAAGAGGGTTTGGATTTGTACTTTTCAAAGATGCTGCTAGTGTTGATAAGGTAGGAACTTGTTTGCATGGTCCTATTCTGGGCTGGGGGGAGCGGTTGTTGTGGTTTACTAGCCACAAATGGTTCTGAGATTTAGTTGTATATTGTTAAATAATCCTGTCTTCCAGGTTTTGGAACTGAAAGAACACAAACTGGATGGCAAGTTGATAGACCCCAAAAGAGCTAAAGCTTTAAAAGGGAAGGAACCCCCAAAAAAGGTTTTTGTAGGTGGATTGAGCCCAGATACTTCTGAAGAGCAAATTAAAGAATATTTCGGCGCTTTTGGAGAGGTGGGCTATTTTTATCATTATTCTTTGGTACACTTTTTAGAGGTTTATTTTTGCCCCTCTTAAGGGGTAGATTTATGCAGCAACCAAGGAGAGGATTCCTGTTACTGCTTGGGTCCTTTATAGTGACTGTCGTGATTGCTGCTTTTCATGCTTAACAAAAACTGCAATGTCTTGTTTTTCTTGGCCGAATCTGGATGTTTTGGGATAGTCTGATTTTCCACTTAAAAACTAGTGACATCTGTTGGGGACAAAATTGTATTGGATTTGGAAAGTTTTAGTCTCTCCCATCCTTTCTCTTCACACATGCATCAGTCATTAAGATGACTGAGTAGTGGCTTCTATGCGGAAACTATTCAGGATAAGCTAACATGCTGAAACCTGTGACATTTAAAAGAATTTTTTTTTTTTTTCAATAACTTTTTAACATAGGATGTGTCTTAATTTCAGATTGAAAATATTGAACTTCCCATGGATACAAAAACCAATGAAAGAAGAGGATTTTGTTTTATTACATATACAGATGAAGAGCCAGTAAAGAAATTGTTAGAAAGTAGATATCATCAAATTGGTTCTGGGAAGGTAAAGCTAATTATATGTTGAAATTGGTGTTTTATTTTTGTTGCTGTTTAATAATTTTTCAAGAATCTAAAAATTGCACTTAAGTTAAAAGTTAATCTCTGTTTGTTTATAGTGTGAAATCAAAGTTGCACAACCCAAAGAGGTATATAGGCAGCAGCAACAACAACAGAAAGGAGGAAGAGGTGCTGCAGCTGGTGGGCGAGGTGGTAGTAGGGGTCGTGGACGAGGTGAGACTTGGTTCTTGGAAAATTACTTGTTTTACATTGTCAATAAACACAAGAAGTAAAAGCAGATTTAAACGTGAAAATATATCTCACCAATGAGTAGTTTTAGGGAAGGTTTTGTGAGAGTACTAACTTTGTATTTTCAAATAACTATCACTTTGACAAGTATCATCACTGGTGGGAAAGTATTGTGAAGTGTGGTTAAGATTACATGATATACTGATAAGTTCTTGGACAGTTCTTATTTTAATCAGAACCACCTTCCAGTCTTAAAAAAGTTTGTCCTGTTTCCCAATTAAAACTTAGAAAACATGAATGGGCACAATTGGACTTTCTACCCGCTTTTTGATGACAGCTGAAAACATTCATTATTGGAGCCAACAGATAACTACAAATACATGTTTATGATTTATGAAGTGAAGGACAGAAACATTTTTTATGTTAGAATTGGGGGTCAGAAGTATTTCCTAACAATCATTGTGCATTGTTTCAGGTCAGGGCCAAAACTGGAACCAAGGATTTAATAACTATTATGATCAAGGATATGGAAATTACAATAGTGCCTATGGTGGCGATCAAAACTATAGTGGCTATGGCGGATATGATTATACTGGGTATAACTATGGGAACTATGGATATGGACAGGGATATGCAGACTACAGTGGTAAGAATATTTAACTTAATTTCATAAACCAAGTGTAATCCCATTCTGACATTGTTTCCATGTGTATGGGTTTTCCATTTATTGAAGTGTTTACCTTTTTTTAGAATTTGATAGACTATAGGGTGATTCTTTTTCTTTTATAGACACTGCTGCTTGCTTTTAATAGTGTGGTTCAAAATAGCTCAGTGTTTCATGTTTGGCATGCAAAGCTTTAACCATTTGATCTGTCTTTATGTGTTCATTATGCTCACTTCCTAGGACACAATCTTAACGTACTTTTTTTTCTTTCTTTTTTTTTTTTTTTTTTTCCCCCCCAAAATAGGTCAACAGAGCACATATGGCAAGGCATCTCGAGGAGGTGGCAATCACCAAAACAATTACCAGCCATACTAAAGAAGGTCACTGACAAAAAACAGCGGGAACTTCATTGCAGGCCGTGTGTCACCCTGACCACGTCTATCTCTGGGGGTCGCACGTTGTGGGCAGAGCGCAAGGCATACACCAGAAAACGCTGTCCTGTGGTATGGTCTCTTCCAACTTCATGTACCAGCGTAAAGATTAAAGTGGAAAACTTCAGACTTTGGCTTCTTTTTAATCTTTTTGAAGATTAAGTGTCTAAACTTAACTTAAATGGTTTTTTACAGGAGTTAAAGTACTTAAATGCCTTTTTACAGCTTAATCATTTTGGTCTTCTGTTTAGTGTTGTATTTCAATTGTGGAGCCTCATTTTAAGTGTTCATTCTTTAAGATTTAATGCTTGCTTTTTCTTTTTATAGCTAATAGTGAAATCTACAAACCAAAACAAATCTGGGATATAAATTAAAGATCATATGCACAAAACAGTTCCTTTTCCT